AGCCAGCCGATGACAAATAATGCTAGGAAGGAGCAGAAGTTCACGATTAGTGTCGCCACGCGCGCGCCACTGAGTCCGCAGTCACGATCTCTCTCTCTGTGAGTACATGGTTCAGGTAAGAACAGGGGGGAGTCGTACTAGAGTAGAATCTTCCGAGGCGGCTGATTTTTTGCTCTAACGGCAGGGCGTGCCCTGGCCGCGACATTGCAAAAGTAAAACGCATCCCAAACTTCATGGAATCGAACCACCTCTACAGGCAAATTTTCACTGGATTTGGTGATTTGAGATGTTTTTGCAGCCACAGTTGTGGCCCTGGCACCAACGGTTTTATGACAAAGGATGTGATATCCGTGTTTAGAGAATCAAACTGTCCCCACGTCAACTTCCATAGAATTAAAGTGGATTTTGAAAAAGTAGAGCAGTAGGGTCGCACTTATAACCCGCGAATACCCGCAAAGAGAGGTGTAGGTATTGGAAGGGAAAATCCGTAATATTGGGCCCACGATACTAGGAAGAAAAAATCGTTCGCGGTCCCCCAAACCCGCAACACATGAGCGCTGCTTTAAAGTTAAATTAAGCTTTTTGTTGTGTTTAACCAAGCATGTGAATGTTGTGACTTCCCGTCGTTTTCTAGTGGATCTCAGCGGTATTCCACCATCACGGTCGTTTCTGGAGAGGCTAGACTACGAATCAGAACTAGGAACAGTCGATCCGTTCGAAGAGGATTTTTCTGCCATAGCCAGATATGAAATCGTAGAGGTGATTGCAGATGGTGATCGAGTTGGAAGGTGTGTGAACCATTCTTTGTGCGCGTAATAATTTGGAAGTTACTGGAGTTGAGAGGGGTAGGAATGCGTTCACAATTTGCGTCAGCGTTTTGAGCGTACGCCAGCGTTTTGAGCTTTTCGAGCGTCCAGGAACGTTTAAACATCGATCCGCGTTTCGGGCGTACTATTTTTCCTAGTTGCTGAAAACGCTAACTGTCGCTGGCGTACGCTCAGAACGCTGGATCGATACCTATTCCTTCTTAGTTGCTCAGAACACTGGCGCGAAGTGTGAACGCATTCCAGCGCGGCAGGACTACACCGCGCTTTCTGGTCGTCTGTACTGTTCTGTCGCTGAGCTCCTTGAAAGGAGTCCTTTTTTGGATGGACACGCTGACGACCCGATTTACTGGTTTATTGGACTCCCCCTCTCGACTCCAGGTGCCCCTCTGGTTCAGTTTGGTCTCATGGATCAGTACCTGAGTCACGCATTCTTGCTTGATCCTATAAGGAATCGCTTCAGGCCTATAATCGTAATTTACGCGTATCGTCTTCCTCCTAGCAAATCCATAGATCACGCACAGCTACTCCGGTATTTGCAATCAATCCTCGATAAGGTAAATAATTCTGTTTTTGTCAGTTGTTTATCATTTTTCAATATTTTTCCCATTTTCAGGTGGTTGACTTGGATTATACCATAGTTTACTTCCATTATGGTCTGAGAAGTCATAATAAACCTCCCATTAAGTGGTTATTTCAAGCATATAAGGTGCTTGATAGAAGGTATTTGTTTCAATTTAATATGTTCTAGTGGTCCGAAACTTGTTTCTTTATATCATTTTTTATACCATACGCCATTTCAGATTCAAAAAGAACCTGAAAGCCCTATATGTTGTGCACCCTACCCGTTTCATTAAAATTATCTGGGGACTATTTCGACCATTCATTTCTTCTAAATTTGAGGACAAATTTCATTATGTGAATTGTATAAAGGAACTAGAAGAAGCTCTGTCAGTGGCCAGGTACGTACAGACAGAGGATTATGTGCTGAAAAAAGAGGCTTGTAGAAGTATCGTGCTATTTCAGGCTGAACTTGCCTCAACCAATTCGAACACATGATGAGCAGCTGCTGATAGGCTCTGGACAAGCATCCGGTGATAACAGATCTCAAACTCCACCTACACCCCCCAGACCTACGCAACAGTTTGGCGTTTCCCTAGAATTGTAAGTTTGGTCTCGTCTTTACGCACTGATGTCTTTCTCTTTTGAATTATACCCTAAAGTTAAATAAAGGATAAGGTCTTGCTGATCAATCCCTTTGTGGGATGCGGCACGCATTCTACTTCCATTCAGAATCGTAGTGGCTTATTGAATGCGATGTGGCCTATACAATGACTTGCGGTGGCCAGCCGATGTACAAGTCAGTGTTTTATCCTCCCAGACGAATCTGGTACCAATTTACCGTCCCGGAGGGTAGAAGGCTTGGTTGGCCTGGGCGGGTGTCGACCCGGGATTCGAACCCGGCGCCGCGCGAGTGGTAAGCGCGCCACTTGTCACTACACCACCTCCGCCTCATACCCTAAAATGGACCTTTCAAATGGTGAGGATGGGGCACGTGGCGATGCATTTACGCTTCGTAACCTTCTCAAGGCTCAGGCTCAGCAGCTGCCGCAGAGTTTCGCCGAATAATCAGAACAGATCTTGTCAGGCAGTCGTATCTCCCCTCCCCGCCATAAAATCGTAATAGACTAGCGCGTTTGGATCAAACTGGACGAAGTGATTTTTCAAGTGATCTCAACTCACTCAGACCTTTCACTTCAAGATTGGTCGAGTGCATGAGAAACAATTATATAGAAGTTATATGCCTCTGATTCGAAAAATCTACGGTTTGCGTGTAAACATGTAGTTGGAGGGGCCACGCCTCGAGCAAGGGGATGCAGCGTTGAGATTCGTCCATCTTGCGCTCTTTTTCTTTCATCCGCTGATAGTGTCGCTCGTGGCCCCTTGCAATGGTCTACACACAACTTGAACTCATTGCTTTGGCCTCCCTTCCCCTGGGAAAAAGTTCATCCCCTGATTCGCCAGATTATCAAATGCGCCCTGATCCATATTGCGCTACAGGATTCTGTAACAGGATGATGCAGAAGAAACTCAAAGAGCTACCCTTCTAACTATGTTTGGCTTCGAAAATCACCCATTTTTGTTTTCGGCAGTTGTCCTAATATCGGTCCTGAAAAGTGGCCCACCTTTATTGTCTTGAAGTTGCTGATATAATCAAGAAGAGCGACTATAAAAGGGTTTTTCTTTGAGTTCTTCGTTTGTTTAAACTTATACACTTTATCCCTGCGAAGGGGTAGGCGTGGCATTGGAACATGGCACAGATCTGGTTACTCGTGGCATGTTTCAGTTTGAAGACAACCGCCATCCTGTTTTGTTGGAGGCAGACACGAGAGCCATATTTGGGGCCCCCCCCCCCCCCCTCAAACGAAAATTCTCTCCTAAGCATAACCACCACGACATTTTACTTGAAGTACGCAGCCACGCCTACCTCATCTCAGGGATTTTGAGTGTACATTCTCTCAGTGCTAGCTTAATATGTCTAAGATACTTTTCAGATTTTAACTTTCAGGCACTCCACTTTGCAACTTTGAATGAAGCCAGATCTCTCATCGTTTCAGCATTTTGTCGCACCACCCTGACCACGATGTACCACCCATCGTTACTGAACTGATCGAATTCCTCACAAAGCATGCTTTGGATGTCGAAGGCATCTTCAGGAAAAGCGCCAATGTGGGGAGTATTCCGCCAGACTGCAGGAACGTATCAACAGAGGTAATTCATCTGGACTTTTCTAGTTTTTTTTTTCTTCAAGTTTCTCCACTTATCTATAGGCGCGGGTCAGGAAATCCACTTTGCGATGACGCGACTTCGCAAGAGTGCACGTTCGCAACAGGAGCTGGTTGATTTAATTCACAAACGTCAATGCTGAGGCTACTACTTACGGATTCCTAGTCTCTGCGCATTGCCGCCGCGTGTGTCAACATTCCACAAAGGCCCCCCCCGGCCCCGCATTTTTCGGCTTAGGGTGCGCCAGAATGTACCTAAACGAAGGCGCAGAGGCAGGAGAATCCTACGCCGTGGTCGCCATGCGACGCCCGTGCCACACCATGATATTGGTTTTAGGTCGTGGCTACTACAGGCAGTGTAGAACCGAAAACATAGTCATGAGTGTCCACAGTTTCGTCAAGAGAATCGTAAATTGCCGCTCTGCCGCGCACGGCGATATGCGCGGCGTTTTCACAATTCGTGTTAGCCTGTACCAGACTGGAGCACCGGATTTCACGTGGGCTACGAATCTGTGGACACTGATGACTATTTTCTGTTCTACACTGCCTGTTGTAGTCCACGACCTGAAACCATCGTCATTTGTGGGCGCGACGTCGCACGCGACGCCTATCAGCGCGGCGAATTACGATTTTCTAGTCACGTACCCGCAGAGGCCACCATCTCACACCATCTTGCGGCTTCAGGAAGAGTTTACAGGTTTCACCTAAATGAGACCTGTTAGTTGGCATGAATTAACAAAAGGAGTAAGCAAAAGTGCAAAATGCCTCTGCCAAGCAGATCAGCGGGCCAAAAATCAAGTGTAACGGGGAGCGAGACCACGCGAACTGTCCTTTGACAATCTGTGCAACTCATCGTTCCCCGCCCCTAAGATCGTGCCACCTCTGAACTCCGCTTAGGCAAATGCATTTTCATTAAGGAGTGCAGAATTCGCTTGGCGTCTGAATAGGGTTGAATCAGTTCATTTAGGAGAACATATTGATTTCGAAAACGATCCTGAGTATGTTGACAATCACTACGTTGCTTGTATACATGCATCGGTTCTACTGAAAACATTCCTGCGATCGCTAGGTGAGCCCGTGACAACCAATGCTCTCTATCCACGTCTTGCTGCTCTGGCAGGTTTGTCGAAGTCACGGCGATTAATTTTTACTGAAGTCCTATTGCTCTAAGGTAGTTGGGGAGGGCCAAAAATGGACCGTGTTCGTTTATGCTCGTCTGCTTCTGCAAGACTGAAGCTGTTGGAGGTGAAGGCGACAGTATCTTGATGAGAAGGCAAAGACGAGCAGGAACGAACGC